TCTAAAATATAATGAAGTATGCTGTGATGACGTCACTTCACACAGGAAGGGCTACTAAACTCAACTGGAAAATTTTTGGAAAGGACATGATAAATTAAAGAATGAGTGAAAGACGCTTGTTTATAAGCAATGAGAACATATCTTCTACAGTGAAGAGGCAGTCCTTGTGAACACACACGGAAATGAGAGAACAAAGGGCATTTAAAAAGTGTAAGGATTACTTTTCAGGTAGAATAGGAAATGTGGGTCGGAGGTCAGAGGCAAGGTAGGTCACTACCTGCAATGAAGCCAAATGATGAAGTTTCATTTTATCCTAAGAGAAATGGGAAGGTACTAAAAGATTCTGATTTTAAGTAATGAAATATCATGATCATACTATCAGAGTTGTAAGGACAGAAGTTGACATACAAATCTACATTGGCATGAACAAGTGCACTAACAATCATAAAAAGACAAATTAAAAATGTGAGATGACTTTCACCAATTAGATAAAGAAAGGCAATTTGTAAAATAAAACTGCTAAAAATTCAATATTTAAGCACATGCTCTCTAAAGAAAGGTATGCCAAGTCTCTATGGTGACCTCTACCTCATTTTCTGCCACAGAAGAATCTTAGGATGTTGCTACAAAGTTCTATAACCATCTTCAAAGTCAGGTTCGATGTAAGTGGCCAGTATCTGTGACTGGCATTTTTATTGCTCTAGGTGGATTTTCTTTTTGTCCCAAACTGTGATTACATTTATAACAGGGACACAATCTGGCCTTTCTTGTCCAGACACACCTCAAAGGAGGGTGTTGGTGAAGCAGTAATTAGCCTAATAAGGAGGTTGAGAAGCAAGAAAGGTCAAGAGATATGGGCTTCTCATTGACTTACATAAGTTATTTCACTTTTTAAAGCTTATTTTTCATCCATAACTGACAATTATAAATAGTATCCACATCATATAATTATGTGTGATAGTAACGAGGTAAATATTCCTAATGAACAAAATAAACATTCAGTAAATGGCATTTCTTAGTAGTATGTGATTATTAGAGAGCTGCTAACTCCTGGGGAGAAAAAAAAGTCAGGTAGAAAGAAGATAGAAGTGAAATTCAAATATCACCCAATCAAAGATGTAATTAAGCAGAAGTTCAAATGCCACATGATCTAAGGTTTCCATTCAAACAAGCAAAGAAAGAAGAAGATAGAAGTCAGTGAAGCAGGTTAACTCAGAAGCTACATCCACAAAGACTATCAATGCTTTTATTTATTTATTTTTTTTTTGCCAGGTATACTCTCCTGGACTGGAGCTGAGCCCATGAATGGATCAAGAGAAGCTGGTTAAGTTCATCTTAGAATATTAAATGTGATACTTAAATTTTTCAGAGTATCAAAGAAATCACACATAGAAACAGAATGAACTAGCTACCATCCAGCTGGGAGATGACGGCTGTTAATAAAGGACTAACTCAAAAAATATTCTTATCTGTCTCAATCATTTCCATGAACTTTGTCCTGAGGAAACAGATGGAGATCACCACTTTTATCAATCCCATAATTTTCGTTATTTTGGGTCTCTGTGTCCCTACCACAGTGCTCTCCAAGTAAAATTTGAGGAAATAATTAGCTGCTACAAATGTGCTTTGTGTGAATACTTTATTAGAAAACTGATTTTGCTTATAAAAGACTTAATGCCAAAATTATCTCCAAGGTCTTTAACTTTCTGGCTAAAATGCTAAAAATCGGCATCTGGGACCACACCTTTGGTGCATATTGCAAGGGTACATGTCAAATCTATTAAGTGTAACACAATAATAAGTGAGTGAGGTAAAGGCTATCTTAACCAGTTTGATGGAAGCATTCCACTTTGTATATAAAATCAGCACCTGTACCCCATAAATGTATTAATGTATAAATGATTTAGGTATTTATGACTTAATAAACAAATGAGAGTAAAATTCAATAAGAAATATAATCTCCAGCATTGTCCTCAATGTTCCTTGTTTAAGTTGTTAAGCATATTATCACTCACTTTCATTCTCTCAAAATATTGCTTAGGATTGATTCAAAATATCAAAGATGGAATTCTAAGGGGACCATATCCGAATCATTCAGTGGGCCTTTTCAAATGACCCAGGTTCCCACAACCTTTTCTGCCTCCTTTTCAAGACTTTTATATGTTCTCCCAGTGAAGGACTTTGTCCCTGTGAACCACTGTCACTAATATTTGTGTATCTAATCATTTTGCTTTGGTAGAATGAAAAGTGCTCCCAAAACTTGAGATCCAGGGGGAATGTGATATTTTAAAAAAACTATGAAATCTGACCCAAACCTGTAGCCCGGACTCGTCTCTGGTACTTACCTTCTCAGAGTCTTAATTTTCCCCAAGAATAAAAAGGGAATAATCCTGCTCTGTTATAAATAGCCACTTAGCATAGTCAATGAAATTTAGATATTAGGTAGTGTCATGTGGAGTAGATTTGCTTTCTAACATAGAAGAAAGAGCAACAGACTTAACTATCCCATTTCTACCTTCTTTTACCCCATTCTGCTTTGCCTAGTACTTCTGAGCTTTGAATTAGAATTTTCCCTGTTATAAAACCCAAAGGGCTTTTCTCTTTTGCTTCTTCTACAGAGATAACAGTAGGTATCCAATGAAAGGGAGCCTGCAAAAAATTTTAAATATATCACAATAAAATATTTGCCACAATATTATTGTGTAAGTTTTCAAGGAAAGTCAGTTTGGCCTATAATGGTTGGTTTTCTTCTCCTAGTGATCCTTTGAAAAATAAGATTTTTATATTTTTTTTTTCAAAAAAGAATGGTTTCTTCAGATAAGTACAGAGACAAGCACCTAAAAAATAATGGCTAGAGAGAAGGGGGAAACCGAAGACATATTTCTGGAAACTGGATAGTGACAGGGATTCAGGTAGACCTCTATTAGCTCATTATTTTCACTTATATGGTGTGACAGATTGTCTGTATTTAAGGAATATTCAGACTTCATTATCAACTCACAGATTGTTATGGTCAATGCAGAGCCTCTCATAGTTAATGGCAGCTCTTCTGTGACAGGTTGATAAAAGGCATGGCTTACAGGCCCTGGCAGAGGAGCCCAGCCCTGCCCATACCCCTGTCCCATCCCATCAGTAAGTGACTGCCACACATGTAATCACTTCTCTCTAAAGTGACTATGTAATTGCATGGCTTAGCCTGACTTCATCAAAATTTATTTACTCTAATTAAAATATTTTCAGTGCATTTATTTTTGATAGTTCAAAATGAATAATCTATTCAGTGTTTCAGCAAATTATCTAACAAACATCAGTCTATTTTTAGATTAGTCAAGAATTGCTTTGTAAATCAAATGTTATCTAAGTTATGGATCATTTTCTATAAATATTCTGATATGCAATTGCTTAACCTGCCAGGAATTTGTTTAAAAATAGTTCTTTTTAAGATATATGTTAAAGAAGAGATTACTACTAGCATTAAGGCATATCAAATGTAGAGGAAATGTTGCTTAAGTAAACTTGGAAATAATTTTTCCTGACAACTAAGTGAGCATTTTAGCTATTTGACTGCCCAGTATTCATTTGCTGGGGACAAATACATTTGGATTAGATGAAGTAATCATTATAAGGAACCCGGCCTCATGTTCAAACAGTTCGACTTCTGGCTGAGCCAATGTCTGAAATATTCCTATCACGGGGAAGTGATCCTTTTACAGCTACTACTTGTTATTTCCTATTTATTATAAAAGACTATTTCTTCATAGAACTGTTAAAATATTTACTGCTCTCTCAGATTTTGGTTCATTGTCACAATAAACAACTTTCCCAATTCTTTCTAGAGGATCTTCAAAATATTAGACTCTATTTGTTAAACATTTCAATTAAGTATACAAAATCATACCTATATATATATTTCAGCTTTACAATCTTTGCCATTACTCTATTACAATCTAATCACAATTATCAACTCTTACATAGTACTATTTCTATATGTTTAATAAGGATCAGTAACCAGTCCATTTTATTGTGTATCAAAAAATTAATAAAATACAATTATTAAATCAAATCACTAAGTATCTACATTTGAAAATTAAATTTTCTCTCTCCTCTTTTGTCCTTAATTTGATTGTTCACATTTTTCTTCATTTATCCATAGACTTTGATGGTAGTAGCATTTGTAAAAAACAAAATTGCTTTTCTGTAAGTCATAAGTTAAATGGGCACATGTTGAAATTCTCAAGGATATAGTTTTTCCAGGTAGTCACAGTTAGATTTTTATACTCCTATGTGGAAGCATAGGGAAAGGAGAGAATAAATGTATGTGTGTCCGCATGTGTACTTGTAACAGGAGGATTTCAGTTCACGAATACACAAAAAGAGGACGGTTTTTAGTTCGTCAGATTTCTGACATGAGAAATCAAAGTGAGGCATAAATCGCAAGTTATTTTGTTGGAGAAGGATGTATCAAAATGTTCATTTGCTTGAAAAAAGTCAACAAACACAAGTAATTACTACCAATTAGCATAAACCTAGAAGTTTCAAAGGAATTTTAAAAAAACCCAAAAGTGAAGAAATTATAATTATCAATTCTGCTTTTTGTTTTTTTAAACAGATCTCACCTTTGCTATCACATTGTGAGCTACCACTAAGTGATACTTCACAACTCCCAGGGAGGTGACACTGTAATAAGCATTAAATAAAGACTTACAACTAACTGTACAATTCACTACTTACATAAATAGAGAAACTGTATGTGTATGTGTTTGCATATGCAAAACGTACACTGAATACAATTAAATGCATTCAAATTTGCATATAGAGCCTTCCAACTGCCATAAGCTATGTTAGAAATCTGAGAATCCAGCCTACTCATCTGTAAGTGTAATTCCTAAAGGGTGACACATAATATTGAAGGCAAACACTCACTGTGGAAGGATTGAAGAATATTTATTGTCCATTCATCTGTTAATCTTCCTGCTTTTGTTATCTGAATACATTTGAGTTGATTTGAAGATTCTCTTGATTCAATCCAACAAATCATATCTTCATTATAAATAAAATCCAGAGTATGAATTTCATTTCCATTGACTGAGTTCACTGTTACCATTTTACTTCCATTAAGATAAAACATCTCAATTGTTTCAAAATTTGCAATTAATAGCAGAGGTGGCCTGTCTGTAGGCTCTGGAATAAAAAAGAAAGAGAGAAATAAGTTTAATTAGAGATTTGCTTTTTTTACAGTTTTGCATTATTCATTAAATTAAAAGTTATCTTTATATTTTTAATAGTCATTAAAAATTGCTTATAAGAATATTTTAATATTGGCTCGGTGCTGGTAGCACAATGGTTACCACACCAGCCACTTACATGGAGGCTGGCAGGTTCGAACCCAGCCCAGGCCAGCTAAACAACAATGACAACTTTAACAAAAAATAGCCAGACATTGAGGTGGATGCCTGTAGTCTCAGCTACTTGGGAGGCTGAGGCAAGAGAATCACTCGAGCCCAATAATTTCAGGTTGTTGTGATGGGCACTCTACCAAGGGCAACATACCGAGACTCTGTCTTAAAAAAAAAATAAAAATAAATAAACCACATATGTCTTTCACTGACTAGCTAAGCTCATTTCTCTGTAGAAAACATATTCTGCATTTGTATTCTTTATTTCCTTAGTCATGATGTATTATCTAAATGTGAGGTCAATGCCATTTACTTTCATTGCTAGTAAGTAAAGGACGAGCTGTGAGTTGATTTTCGAGCAAAGATGATGGATCTGGACTGACATCTCCATTTGGTTTTTCAGGCTTCCCTTGTAAGAGGATGCTTTTTTGAGTTGAACACACAAGGTCACAAATGGATTCTCTGGAGCAGAACATGCAAACTTCAGGGGCTCATACAAAGAGTGCACCTGTGGCTTTGGCCTCACTGGCTTCTTGCCTGACTCCAGTAGCTGAACAATCATGTATTTTCTTAGCAACTAGATTATGATTACTGAACCACTTCCTTTCACAACCCTTCCCTGCAGTCAGGAAAATAAGTTTCCAGATGTAAAAGGAAGTTGTTCAGTATCAATTTTTTGAACAATGCTGCTTTACTGGCGTTAAAACTCATAATTTTTTGATGAACTGTCCAGACTTTCAGTAGAAAAGTTAAAAATAACAGTAAAAATCCTACATCTAAATCAATGTTGAGAGAGAGTTTAGCTGTACAAGCATATTCAGAGGAACTTTTCTGCGAATTAGGGGATAAGACACAAATGGAAATCTCTAACTGTTCTTTTTTTTTTTCATGACCCATATGCAATGGATCAATAAATCCCTTTGAGGAGTATGTCAAACAAATCAAAAAATCCCACCACTTCTCAGTAACTACTGCTACTATCCTGTTCTAAGCTACCATTTTCCATCTAAATTATTCCAAAAGCCTTCTCACTAGTTTTTATTCAATCCCCCAAATGACTCCCATTCCAATCAGAGCAAAAGTTAAAGCTTTTGGGTAGCACCTGTGGCTGAGTGGGTAGGGTGCTGGCCCCATATGCCAAAGGTGGTGGGTTCAAACTGGCCCTAGCTGCACTGCAACAAAAACAACAAAAAATAGCTGAGCACTGTGGCAGGCACCTGTAGTACCAGCTACTTGAGAGGCTGAGACAAGAGAATTGCCTGAAGCCCAGGAGATTGAGGTTTCTATGAGCCGTGATGCCAAGCACTCTACTGAAGGCGACAAAATGAGACTCTGTCTCTCCAACAACAACAACAACAACAATAACAACAACAACAAATTTAAAACTTTTACAGTTATCTATAAAACTCTGTCTGATCTGTCTGCTCATTACCTCTTTAACATTATTTCTTTTTCCTTCTTACTACCCTCACTCTTTTTCATCTCATTCCACGCAGGCTGCACTTCTTGCTGGTCCTCGAATGAGTCAGTCCAGGGGCCACCTAGAGACCTCACCCCCTTCTTGGCATGATTATTCCTCCATTACTGACTTTCTTTCCTCCACTGGGGCATTATTCAGATGTCTTCTTTCTAGTGAGGACTTCTCTAACCACTTTATTTTCTAAAAATTGCAGCCTCTACATTCTCTATACACCTTCACAGATTGATTTCCCACGTACCACCTCCATATATAACATGTATTTTATTTATTTTTCTGATTATCTATTCCTGCTAGTGTATTTCTAGCATCTAGAAACAAGCCTGGAACTCATTGGTCACTCAGTACAAATTTTCTTAACAAGTGAAGAGGACAAATGGGTCTCTTACATAGAGAATGTCCTTTAGAAACATTCTGTGTAATATAATGCAATAATTTGGTTTTTTTTTTAACCTATAAAGGGAATCCAGAGAATAGCTGACTACTCCAAGAATTTCATAAC